AGGGAGCGCAATTGACGCCAAAGGTGACTGTTTTCAGCCTAAAATCTTCTATGGGCTTATTTGGGGACTTACGAAAGACGATTCTTTGGAAGTCTTGATCTTCCTTGTGGACGAGAATTTGGCGATACATTTTTTCGATGTCGCCATTAAAAACGAACTTGTAGAGGTGCCATCGAAGAATGATGAGCATCAAGTCGTTTTGAAGAGTTGGGCCAGTGTATAGCACGTCATTCAATGAGTTTCCAGAGTGCGATATTCTGGAAGCATTGAAGACTACGCGTACTTCTGTTGTTTTGCTGTCTGGTTTTATGACAGCGTGGTGCGGTAAATAAAAGGAGAAGTATTTACCGCCATTGATGACTTCTTGGGATGAGGTGGGCTCCATGTGGTCCATGGTGATGTACTCTTCCAGAACTTCTGAGTACCTTTTGCAGAGGTCAGGGTTTTTCTCCAGAGTCCTTTCGATGCTGATGTACTGATGCTGCGCTGCTAGTCGAGAGTGTCCTAGAGTCATGATGTCTGGGAGTTCGGGTTTGATGGGTAGTTTCACCATGTATCGTCCGTCTGTCTGCCGGATTGTTGTGCGTCGATACAGGTCCTCACAGAAGTCCTCTTCACTTGAATGGGGTTGCGGGACAGCTACTTCCTCCTGTTTCGAAAACTTCTTCAGCAGTGAGTTCAACGATTCCTCCTGGGGTTCGGTAACCTGGGTGGTAAAGGTGGATATCCTCTCCTGGATTGGGCCGCTCAGAATCCATCCAAATATCGTGTTCTGCGCTATGAGACTTCTGCTTATATTTTGTTGCAGCCCTTGTAGGAGAATTCGGGGGATTAGGTCACTGCCGATTACCATATCTATTTTATTTGGGGTGAAACAGTTGGGATAGGCGAGCCTTAATCGTTTTATCTCTTCTATGTTAATATGAGAGATGTTGGTTGTAGGTAGAAACTGAGTCAATTGGGGCAAAATAATGGCTTGGGTCTTTATTTTCTGGGCTCGATCTGCTGAGCAGAGTGGGATTTCGCACATTTTCTTTGAATTTTGTACCACCATTCCACCCATTCCAGAAATCTCGAATAGAGCATCTGTCATAGGCAATCGCAAGAGTTTCTGTATCCGGGATGATACAAACGTTTTTGTGAGCCTTGATCCACCAGAACGCGAATATTATGATATTCGCCATCACAATATATCGGTACTACCGCCGTTGGGAGGAGAGTTGTGACGTTAGTACTCGAAAAGTGAGATGACACTTTATTTACGTCGTTTTTCTCTGGTGGCTTATGTGTCGCATATTTCGAGCAAGTGGGCGCTTCAGTATCCATACTAGTCTGCGTCGACAGCTGACTCGTTGTTCGCTGGGGTTTTGAATTGGGTTTTGGTTGCTGGGTTTTTGCGGGAAGTGTAAAAGAGAGTGATGTTTTCTTTGGCAGTATACACAAGTGAAGCTGCTTGAACAATCACTCTTTAAATGGGAGTAAGAAAGGCAATTTTCACAATAATTGTGCTCTCGTATGAATCTTAAACGGTCAGACACGGACAGTGCTTTAAATTTAACACATGTCTTCATGGGGTGCCTTGAGTTGCAGAGTTTGCATGAGAGCGGCTGATTTAAATCTACATGAAAATTTTGAGTTCTACTTTTATTAATGAACGTCGAATTTTGGTTCATCATTCTGGGTGTAAAAAGTGGGGTAGGGGGTTTTAGTTTGCCTGACCGATATGCATGTAGTCTTTCTACTACTTCATACCGGCTTGTGAAGAATTTATTCATATCTGCCCACAGCGGTAACTCTTTCCGTGAGCTGAGTGATTGTTCCCATAGAGACAGAGTTTCACTGGGCAGTTTTGAGGAACATAAATATACAGGGATGGGGTCCCAATTGTTGGTCGGGATTCCTTGTGCTGAGAGGCAATTATTGATAGTGGATAGAACTTTTTGGATTTGCTCACCACTTTCTGTGTATATGGGGGGATATTGAATAACGCTTTTAATTGGTGTTCTACCAATATCCTACGATTCTCGTACCGTGATTTAAGGCATCCCGGGCAAGTTCAAAATTATCGTCAGTGAGAGGGAATTGTTACAGTATTTGTCCTGCCTGACTTCGGGTTTTTTGCCTTAAATGGTATAGTTTCTGGGTTGGTGTCAATTTGGGGTGATTTTTATAGACTGCCGTGAACATATCTCTGAACGCCGGCCAGTCTTCGTACCCACCGTGGAAAATTTCTGTATCACACGGTGGTACCTTGAGGAATACTTCTTGGGAGTTCGAAGTTGGGGTGGAATTTGTGGTGGGAATGGTGCTTGTTTGGGACTGCGAATTTGCCCCGAGAAGTTGTAAGCCGTCTAAAATTTGCGTCTTACAATTCTCATAACTTTCTGAGCATTTATTATATTTTTGCTCAATCGATCCGCTAGATTCAGCGAAGTGCTCAGAGCGGGATACTGCTCTATATGAGCTTATAAGAGCATCCCATAACTTGTCAAGTTGCTGTAACTTCACATTTAAAAGCGTTTGGGTGTGTTCGCTTATAAGGGTGCTGGACCATTTTGAATAAAATGACTCTAGCCTATTACTATCAAAAATGAAGTCCTGAAGGCTTGAGTCAGAACCAGTAGGAGATTTCTTTTCCATTTTGGGTTCTAAAGAGGTAGTTGGGGTGATTCGGGGTGAGACGGTAGTGAAAGAGTAAAAAGNGAGGTAGTTGGGGTGATTCGGGGTGAGAAGGTAGTGAAAGAGTAAAAAGCGTAAAAATATCTTTATCTTGTCTTGAGATACCAAGATGCAGTTAACACCTTCTTATTTTCAAATTTAAAATATTTATTTTCGCTACTTTTTTAACGATTAAGAATTTTTTCCTCGTGTGGTGCTATTTTTATGAGCTCTACTGTATCTGCTTCGGGTGCTATTTTCTTGACCACTACTGTATATTGTCTCAGCGCGTCTGAGCTCAATAGTATATATGTACGTGTGTACGTATGTGTATTTACTGGCGTTGCAAATTTTGGAAGCGCAAAAGGTGGTTAGAGATCCAGAGAAGCGAAATAAATAAATATGCAAGCCGTAATATGTACGTACGTTTGTCTTTTCGGCTTGTGAGTATGTACGTATGTCGCAAATTTTGTAGCAGAATCTTATTTTTTCACTTTGAAACGGGGTAAAGGCTCCGTTATGCATACTTGGCATGGCTTGAGAGCTGTCACATAAGAAATCTGTTAAATGAGCCTCGCGTGTAATCGGTTATCGAACGCACAGCACTACATACGTAGAAGTCTGTTGGTTTTTGATTTCGACGTAAAAATGGTATAGCAGTGCATGCAATGCCAAGTATGCATAACAGAGCCTTTAATCTCTAGGCATAAGTGGAAGAAGCAGACAAGAACAAAGCGATTTTAGTTTCTTTTCGGGTACCGCTAATTAAAAACACAATTTCAAACACAATTTCGTGTGTTATACTCCTGGGTCATGCGTATATGTGAGTATGTACATATGTATGTCAGAATCAAGGGGCTTTAGAGTAAAAGCGGGGAATGAACAAAACGGTGTCCAGTATTTAACTATGTACTTGTTTAATATACGTGCGTGACTTCGGAATTTTTTCTACGTTCGTGTATATAAGTACATATGTATTTACGTGTATCGCACGGGACAAATGAGCTGATGTATATAAGGATGAATAAATATTTTTTTCGCGCGCAACACTAGAACTAACATATATATGTATATACTGTGCAGAAATTTCGGGACTTATGTGAATATGAGGGGGTAGTGAAACAGAGATTGGGTAAATAGGTATGTAAATTATATTACGTTTGTATATTTTATAGCGGTTTTTTCGTTTTGAGAAGGGGAAATGTGAAATTGCGCGGGATTATTTATTTATCTTTGTGTACATACATATGTATCGGGATATGTATGTCTTGAGGAGATGTGAGTCTAGTTACANTATATTTTATAGCGGTTTTTTCGTTTTGAGAAGGGGAAATGTGAAATTGCGCGGGATTATTTATTTATCTTTGTGTACATACATATGTATCGGGATATGTATGTCTTGAGGAGATATGAGTCTAGTTACAGTAAATTAGAAGTTCAGCGGCTTCCATCTACCGTACTGGGGAACCGCTAACAAATTTACACACGTAATATATGTATCTTTTTATGTGCAAGTTTAGGGTAGTAGGTAGGGAATGGTGCACTTACTTGCTTATTGGGTACCACCTGTCTTTTTTGTGTCGGGACTGTACTGCCTGAACTTTGCTGTATCCGGTTGTTGCCTTACCCGTTTTGCGTCCGTCCAGCTAACGGTGTTCCTTTTGCTGCCTCCTCTCTCGTCTTTTGCTGCTACTCTTGAATTCCGTTGTATTTAATTTTCGAAATTTAGGTTCACTTATATTTTTTTCGTATAACTTTCTAGACTGATTTCGGTTATATGTACATATGTATGTACATATATGTATGATCTTTTTTTTCGAAATTTTGTTTAGTTATATGTGTACGATAATTTTGTGGCTTTATTTCAGCACTTTCTTTGGGGTCACCCTGAGAAATTTTTCTATTTTAATTTAGATTTCCTCTTTTCAAGCTATCTACACTTTTTACTCTGAAATTCCAGTAATATGCACCTCTTTTTACTTTACTTCTTTTTCTTTTTGTATAATTTGGTACTTTTCAGCACTTTAAATTTTGATTTTAAATTTTTTTTTTTTCAGGTCGGTAAGTATTCACTTTTTTTTTGGTTTATTTTCGTTTTCAGCACATTCTCCTTCTTTCAGGTAAGTATTAAATTTTTTGGTATATACTTTCTTTTTTAAGCACTCTTTTATAATTTCTTCCTGTTTTTANTTTACTTTGAAATTCCGGTAATATGCACCTCTTTTTACTTTACTTCTTTTTCTTTTTGTATAATAATAAATAATATTTTGATTTAAAATTTTTTTTTTTGCTTTTTCAGGTCGGTAAGTCTTCACTTTTTTTAAATTTATTTTCGTTTTCAGCACTTTCTCCTTCTTTCAGGTAAGTATTAAATTTTTTGGTATATACTTTCTTTTTTAAGCACTTTTTTATAATTTCCTCCTGTTTTTGCAGGTAAGTATTCACTTTTTTCGGTTTATTTTCTGTTTCAGCACTTTCTTAATTTTTCAGGTAATTATTCAATTTTTCGCTTTGTTTTCTTGCCACCCTAATGTTCATACACAAACATCACTTAACAGGTGCCGCTATTCCGTTCGCTTTCATTTGCTGGGGTTTTTTTTTTCCTTTTTTAATTACCGATTGGGATATGTTAACTCTTTGATTCTTTAATTTTTAATAACTTTTCGTTTTCTCTGTTTAATTTTTGTTCACACAACTTTTTTTTTATAAGCTTTTATTTAACTTGGTCATCCCGCGCAAATCGTAGAAATTTCCAATCGATTTTAAACTAACTTCCCGAAAAGTTAGAGACTTGAAATTTTCAGCATAGTTCCAATCACGATGACAATGCAATTTAAAATATAAATGAATTCCCTATATGGTCCAGGGGTCTTGATTCAAAGTCGGTCAAAAATTAGTAAAATTTATGGCTAACAGAGCGTAATTTGCCAAAGAACGTAAAACCAGAGCAAAGCTATTTATGGCAAATTCTAGATATCAACCTAGTCTAGATATGAACCTCGTTGTAGGCATCATATCAAGGAGATACAATTAGAAGACTCGAGAAGTTTCCCCGCCAGAAGAACTTTAATATTGCGCCTAAATATATGCCATGCTACAGCGGAAGTGGACGACACGCCATTTCTTTAAATGAAATTAGCTGCTGCTATATGTATGTATGTTTATACAAAACGAAGGCAAACAACATTTTGCTTGCATAGTCTTCTGTTCTCTTTCATTGCAAGTTGAATTATTTTAATATCTATTGCAAAATTTTGTACATAAAATAAAATAAAACTATTTAATATACAACGCTTTTATAAATGGACTAAAAATTAGAAAATAAAGTAATGTAAAAAAAATATTTTTTTAAAAATAAGCTTTTATTTAACATGTTTAATCAAAGGAATAAAATAAAGTAGTGAAACAAAAGATTTTTTAGGAAGAAAATTTTGTCAAAACTGCACTAAAATGAATAAATAAAATAAAACTATTTAATATACAACGCTTTTATAAATGGACTAAAAATTAGAAAATAAAGTAATGTAAAAAAAATATTTTTTTAAAAATAAGCTTTTATTTAACATGTTTAATCAAAGGAATAAAATAAAGTAGTGAAACAAAAGATTTTTTAGCAAGAAAATTTTGTCAAAACTGCACTAAAATGAATAAAATAAAATAAGTTAAGGTCTCGTTAAAGTTACTAAAAGCCATTTAGTGAAAGGAGTTATTCAAACTCTAATGAAAATTACTAACAATTTGTACTAATTTACTTCGTTTTTAAAAAAGCTTGTCGGCGAATTCAGCGTACATGCATAATTGGTTAGGTATGTATGTATTTAAATGTATGTATGCAGATATTTAAATGCCGGTTTGCTATTCGCGCGTCATTCAACACCGCTGCTTTGTATGACTGAGCAGCGGCGTTGGCTTAGTAGTATCGATACCTAAACGAAATTAGAGGATGACTGAACACGAGCGCATTGCGTGCTGTCTTGCAAATACAGCCACCACAAGTGAACGATGCTTATAACTGCTCATTCTGATATTGACTTCGGCAAATCTGTACTCTGAATGATCGTGCACGAAACCAGCAAACGTGGCAGTTGAAAGGCTCCGAAAACATGAGAGTCATCATTTGTTGCAGAAGTCGTTTGACTTGTTGCTGAAAATCATCTGACTTGTTGCTGAAAGCCATTTGACTTGTTGCTGAAAATCATCTGACTTGTTGCTGAAATGACGACGAATGTGGTAAAGAGTAATTTATCGTCTCGTATGCATGTATGTATGTATTTATAGCGCGTCTACCATTCCATTGCATTGCTCACTGCTGGCTAGTTGTGAATATGCATACGTACGTAAGTATGTATGTATGTACATATCAATGCTTCATTTCAAACAAGCAAGTGTCTTTGAATGTTTTTGAACTACAGTATCATCACTTCGGCACTTCTTTTTAATCTTTAGTATTTACACTTTTAATTTTGTTTATTTAATATTCATTACATCCGATTTTAAAACTTTATACAGAGTTAAAAAAATGTCAACAAAGGGGTACAATAAAGTGCAAGTTTCAAGGTCTGTAAAATAGCGATGATTTTTGACAATTTTTTGGTGATAGTGCTGCGCGTTTTCTCTCATACAAAGTATGCTCGACAAAACTTTTATATGGAATCAAATGCGCAGCACTGTCAATAAAAAATAAATGAATTTGAAAAATCGGGGCTGTTTTAGAGTCACTTCAAACTTGCACTTAATTACACTATAATTGAATAAGCTACAAAACTGCATATCAGAAATTTTTCTAAAAATATTATTAACTTATTCACTGCAGGTCATTAGGATCCTATGTTGACCTTTTTTAAGAACTGTTTCCAGCTCTCGAGAAAAACGAAAAAATTATATAAAATGCTGCCCAAGAAATGGAAAAAAACTTTCTTTTAAGTTTTAGTTTGTAAAAAATTTTAAAACTGCATTTACCCGTAGAATATGCTATATCGTCACTAGACAGGAATAAAGGCGCGAGCTCAAAAGTTGACGGCGAAAAAAGACGCATAAAAAAATTTCAGCGTCAAATACTCTTAACATACTTCGCCAAAGTTTTTTATAAGCATCTTCTTTCGCAAAATTTTTTTAAACGCTTTTTTTCACCGTCAAAACACCAGCGCGCCTTTATTCGTATGTAGTGACGATATTTTTACAAAAAATTTATATTAAATAAACAAACGGAAAACTGTAAATACTAAGAATTGAAAGGGTGTGCAATTCAAATGACGAGGAGTGTATATGAGCAGATGTGATCACTACCCCAAGTAAACGCGAGCTGAAAGCGTGATTGTGTTAGTGTGCCAATTACGTTTGAATGAATTTGCGTTCGCTTTGTTACGCTCTCGCATGTATTTGCATGTGATGCTTACGCTCTTTAAGCAGGCGCTTGTATATGAGCAAATTTGACATCGATATAACTGTTGCCAACTTTGTGCCTTTCGCAAGAAATTAAGTGCGTTTAGGGAATTAAAAGGCGAAAATTGTTTAGTTTAGCGCTTGTTTTGTTCTTTGGTGCCCTTTTCAAGGCAATTTTATAATAAAAACGTGATTCTATGGTGACATTGTATTTGACTTACACATATTTTAGTGTTTGGCCGAGCTTCTCCTCTGGATAATATGCTCCAAGATAATCCAAACGCAATATTTTCACACAGTCTCTATCACGGAATCCATAGAATATTCTGCTAATTAGCTGGATGTGCGCATTTGTACAAAAGTAAGCAATTGCATGCAAAGCCTCTAGAAAAACCAAGTTTTACGAATAAAAAAACATTTTGCAAATTAAATTTATTAAATTGATTAACTGCGCATAGTTGGAAATATTTACAAGTTTCATTGTGTGATTACTTAAAATATTTGAACATACAGCTTTATATGCGAAAATACCTTTAAACACAGCAACACAAAATTGGTGTTTTTTTGGGAAAATTGCGCTATTTCCAGTATTTTGGTGCTTTTTTAAATAAAAAAACTTGGCGATCAGGGTTGCCAACTTGGCTCAAACCGTGCCATTTTTGGCACTATTTTCTAGAAATGGCACTGAATTTTTCAATTTTGGCACTTTTGAAAAAAAGCCAAATTTAAATACATTTTTGTGAAATCCTTTGCGTGTACTTCTTTTTCTCAACTACAATTTTCTAATTTCTATA